AGGTAATAATGTGTTTTTTTAAGCTACTAAGTTTGTAATACACAAATGTATACAATAGCAAAAGGAAAATAATATGAAGCCAAGGGTAGAATCCCAAGTACTCACTTTATTACGTCCAGTTCTAGTTCTTAGGTATAATCCAAAATACTCTGAGTGTGGTGAGAGAAGCCAGCCCTCCCTCCACAGTCAGACCATACCCTTGGAGGTCATACCATGGGACCAAAATAGTCAGTACCCATCCCTACTGGGTGTCACTCTTCTGGTGACAGATGCACCAGCAGCTCTGCTTAGCATTATAAAAGGTATCTATGTAACAAAACACTCTATCCTCTTAATATTTTGAAATAAAAAAAAATAAAAATAACTATAAACACAGTCAGTACCCAAAGTAATACCAAGGTAGAGTAGGAAAACCAGAATCAGGAGGAAATATTATTGAGGATCTTTGCTAATTTCTCCCTAGATTTTAAAAACATGAGTACCATAACATATTAGGCAACATTATTCACTTTGATTGGCTCAATTGTGGCTTTGTTCGAAAAATCAAGGCCCTTCAAACAATGTGATTCCACCTAATTTTAAAATAACTGGGCAAATTGTAGACCCTGGCAATCAGCCCAGTCTGTTCTATTTAGCTCTTTTTGTATTCACCTGACAACTTAAACATGATAAATGGATGCCAGGAAGAAAAAGGAAAAAAGAGAAAAAGAGAAGTCTAACGGGTTCTTTCAGTATGGTGACCCTGATTAGAATTAGATATTTGATTACAAAAGCATGGCTGTTTTATTCTCAGCTCAATTACAGAGAAAGGCCCTCCCTGACCCCATATGGTCGTACTTCCCCATTTCCATTTATTCACAACATTAGCACTATCTAAAATCGCATTTATGTTTTGGCTCATGTATCTGTGTTCTCCACTGAAATATAAAGTCTCTAAAATTGGAGATTTTTTTAAAGATCTTATTCATGCTACATCCCCATTTAGTAAAAGAATGTTTGGAACATCGTAGGCAGGCATAATTTTTAAAAGGATGGATAGATGGATGAATGGATGGGTAAAGGGATGGAAAAGAGAAGAAAGAAGATATTCAATGCCCAGAAAGTGAAGAAGTCTTTAGAGAAATGGTGCCATTCCATAAATTTTCAACAGGCAGTCCTTAATTAGACAGATGAAGAAAACAATTATTGAAAGTGAAATTCCCCAAGCCACCCAAAACTCAGAGGAGAATGACAAATTCCTGGAGCACAGGGAGTGGCCTGAGAATAGTAAAATACAAAGGAAAGACAGGACAGAAGAAAAGCTGACATTGGTGCATTTTAAGAATCAAACGGCCTTTTCTAGGAAGTAAGAATAATTTAAAGAGAGAGAAGCCTCCCATACTTCAGCAGATCTTCCATTCTTAGGGGAAACCATTTGAAGTGCCATCATGAACTCCAGTTCTACGTTTGACTCTGCTCAAATTCTGTGTGTATGGAGTGGGGAGCCGTAATTTGACATCACATCTTCACTCCCCCATTACACCACCCAAGCCGTGGGAGAAATAGTCTCCCCTGGTTCATTTTTGTTGAGCTTGTCCATGTGACGTGTTTGACCAATGAAAATAATGCAGACCTACTCTGTTCTATGGGTGTGCCAAAGGTCACCATAAATAGGAAAATTAACAAACGTCATATTTTACATTATATTTTAATATTTTCCATATTTATTTGGTAACACTTAAAGATTTAGTACATATTTTCTAATGAATATTTTGCAAATGAAGATACTTTAGCTACAATTTTCCACTTTCTCTATGTAAGTATGTATGCATGGTGACCTTTGAGATACCCTGTATATCTAAGAGAAAGGATTTAGATATACATGGTTTGACTTGGCTTCTTTCAATCATGCCTCTGAGAATAGCATGCCCCAAGTGCTGTTGCTGCTTAGTTGAGGTTCCAAAAGAGGAGACATTTGAATTAGATCTGAACTTGACCAAAGGTGTGGAGTTGAACATAGCCAAAGACTCTAACATGAGTCAGCCATTGCATTCTGGTTGGAATGTATTATCATGACAGTAAACTGCACCGATACAGCCAGTGGGATGCAGACTGCAGGTATCTAGGTCATGAACTGTAGCAGAAAGGGATGGCTGACCATCCATCAAAATTCATTGTTTCCCTACCATAGTGTAGAGATGTCCCTGGGAAGCAGCTGCTGAGAAGAGACTACACAATTCACTGCAACCCCGGGGAGCCCCAGGTTAGATCTGATCAGTGGAATAACATTGGAAGTGATGTGTGTCCCTTGAAGTGGCCCAAGTGGTCAATTAAATTAAGAAACCATCTCCTTTCTTTCAACCAGGTTGACACTGATGACTGAGGCATTCCACAACAGCCCATAACATCTAAGCAGTCTGGATGCCAAAATTATCCCTTGGGGGAAAGCCACTCCAGTTCAGAAACAACCATATTTGGACTACTGCATGCACAGTTATAAAATTTCTGTGTTGTTATGCTACTAAAATTTAACTTTCAGCAACCAGTAATAACTAGCATACCATGATCAACATGCAGCAATATTGTATATATTACATACGTATCAAAAGACATGCACAGAATCAGAAAATGTTTATGTTCACTTAGGAGAATGTCCTTGAGAAGAAGATGTTCACTTAATAAAAGAAGCTGGCTTTCTGGTAGAGTGACATTCTAAATGCATTTCTACGAACACATGTGACAGATATTTATGTGTTCTTGCTGGTGAGGCTCCGTCAGTGAAAAGATTCCTGCCCTCATGGACTGTAGATCCTAGTAGGATTCAGACACTAAACAACGAAAATAAATAAGTCAGGAGGTAATGACTGCTATAGAAACAACAGACCAGGGAACAACAGACCAGATCAGGATTTGTGGGGGTGGAGAGAAGCCCACAAATACTTTAACCACTGGATATCTCTGCCTCAGCTGAGTGGAAGGGCAGGGCAGGGGGCGTCCTCAACAGTATCTTCCACCTGTATTCCTCACCAGCTCTCGAGGTGATTCTGGGAACACGAGTTCTCTCAGTGTCCTCACCTCAGCTCTTATTAGACGGAGGAAAAGGAGAAGAGCTAATCCGGCTTAGAGGGGTCTGCAAGGCAGTGGTCCCCTATGTCTAGGATGAGGATATCGCTCCACAAAGCCCACCTGGCATTCGTTAGCATACAGAGCCACTCTGTCAGTCACACATTCACCATGAGTAACTAGGGATGGGTCATAACTCTGGAGACTCCAGAGACCCCTAAACATCAAGTATATTACTACCAACCTAAAGGTATGACTGTGTGTTTTAACAACATATAATCCTTTGCTGTGACATCAAATATAAAAAGACCAGTCCCAAGAGACAGAACAGAGGATTCTTCATTGATTAGCCCAAGTTTGACCCTATCTAGATGCAGTTCAAAATAGGAAAGGAAAAGGGAAGGAAAATAAAAACCCAGGTGAGCAACATATTTTTAAAATATAAGAAAAAAATATGTCTCCTTCCCACCTCAGGCTATATTTATATCAGCTGTTCACATGTCCTTCCAAATGGTTAGACAAAACATAAATCCTTCTAGAATAGGCTTGAACATGACTATTTTGGTCCACAAATTATCTTTTAAAAATCATTCCAAAAGTATTAGCATATTTTGTATTGAAAATAAATACAGATGAAAAATTAAGATGGAAAACTGGAAAATGCATCCAGTTTCTTTGTGCTGCTATGCAGATGCATTTATAAAGCTGCGATTATTTCACAAGTGCTGCCTAAAAATTACCGTGAATTTTTCTTTTCTTTTTTAAAATAAATGTTATTGTGTATATTTAAGGCATACAACGTATGTAGTAACGTGGTTATTACAGTGGAAAAAGTTAGCATATCTCTTATCTCACATGGCAGTCCATCCCCTTTTCCTGTGGCAAGAGCAGCTACAATCTAGTCATTTAGCAAAAATCCTGATTAGAAGGGTACACGTTCCTACCTGCAGTCCTCACTCGTGTTGTACATTCTGCCTTTTAACTAGTTTGCCCTATACATTGGCTTCTCTGCGTTCTTTGACCTGTGTCATTCTCTCCCCACCTCCACCTCAAGCCTGGTAACCACTGTTTTATTCTCTCTATATAGCAGAGCAACGTTTTCTGATGACAATTTCATAGATGTTTTTGGATTGGAGAATTTTTCTATAATACAAATATTTGTATTAAGGCCATAGGAAAAAAACAAGAAAAAAAAAAAAAACTTAGGCACTTACAGGGGTGTCCAACCTGTGGCCCCACAAGACTACATGTAGATTATTTGAGGAGTGTTTTGTTTATCTGTGATGTCAGGCAAAAGTTATCCATAGACTTCTTTTTCATTTTTCTTTTCTTTTTCTTTTTTCTTTCTTTCTTTTTTTTTTTTGGCTCCTCAGATTTTATAAGTATTTGTGTATTTAATGTGTGTCCCAAGACAACTCTTCTTCTGATGTATGGCAGAAAAAGAGAAAAGGTTGGACACCCCTGCTAGAATATATTTTGTTTATTGTTTTATTACCACTGGAAAATGAAAAATCTGTCAGACAAAAGGCTAAGTAATGGAAGTAAGGGGCACAATTATCATGGGTCAGTGAAATGTCTGATTTATTTTTTTATTTTTAGGAAATTCTTCTTTTATATTTTCTTTTTAATCCTTGATGAAAGTTGATTGACTTCTTCATCTGAGCATGAGCCAAGAACACAAGGCATATATGCTTTTTGATATTGGCACCTTTTTACAAGTGGCATGTTGGTAACAATGAAAAATGAAGAGCACTGTCCAGTCCTTCTTTGAAGCCGATGGAACAATCACTTTCCAATTAAAACAACCCAGACATCTAAAGTCACCTTCCACCTGGCTGTCTATGTCTTTCTCCCTCTGCCTCCCTTCTGTCAGTGAAGAGGCAGATGGTAAAGGTGGTTATGGCAAACTGTGCTGGTTATTGAGCTTTTGCCACCCAGTTTCAATCTCACTCTTCCACGTTCAGCCTCGTGATTCTGGGGTTGGGACGCTGCAAACCACATCTATGCTTTGCCAGGTGCCCCGTTAGACTGTTCCTGTTGGGGGCACAAGAGGAAGGCAGGATACTTGAAAGGGGGAGGAGGAACTTGTTTCCTCCTGTTTTACTTCTTGTTTTTCACCCAAGGGGTGGCATTTGGTCCCACATTCCATAATCTTCTAGCAGTCCTGGAACCTGCTTCCTCATGGCACAGAGGCAGCAGCAGCTGGACGGTGTGACCTCCCCTCAGAGCTCCACAAACCTGGCTCTGAGGGCCCTTCCTCAAGCTTCTGGGCTTCAGCAATCTCTTTCCTTTGCTCCCAAGGGATGCCCCAGCCTGTTCAGGTCGCTATAACAAAGCACCATAGACTGAGCGGCTTAAAAACACCGTAAATTTATTCCTCACCATCTTGAGACTGTAGGTCCAAGGTCAGGGTTCCAGCCTGGTCAGTTCTGCTGAATGCTTTCTTCCCAGTTTGTAGGCGACTGTTTTCTCCTGTGTCCTCACATGGTGGAGAACAAACAGAGAGAGAGAAGGCCCTCTCTTTTTATAAGGGCACTAATTGCATTTATGAGAGTTCCACCCTCATGATTAATCACCTCCCAAAGGCCCCACCTCCTAAGATTATCACATTATGGGTAAAATGTCAGCACATGAAATCACTGGGGGCAGTGGGGTGGGGGACATTTAGTCCAACAGAATAGGAGTCACTTCCTGCAGTTACTACTTGTGGATTTCCTGTTGCCTTTTTTTGCTTTTTCAGTTTTTCCATATTTGTTGAATTCATTCTTTATATTAAATTCCCTATGTTTAAATAACAAGTATAACATACAGATTTTATGCTTATGACTAGAATTTGGTTAATATAGGAAATAAGTGGGAATGTTTGAAAATCTGAGGGAATTTGGGACAATCTATTAAATTGGGGAAATGCAAAATAGTAAGAAAAATGAATGAAAAGTAAAGAATCAATAAATGTCTATGTAATAGAAGGACTACTTTAGAAATTCCTTAACCTTAAAAATGAAACGTTTGAGGCCAAGTACTGTGTCTAATAGCTTTTGTAGCTTTTGTATACATCGTATGTATATTGGCCTGCACATGATAAACATGAACATTTATTGTGATGGGTTGATCTATCCTTAAAAGGGAGCGAGACAGCCTGCCAAAAAATGGTAGGTATTACAAACGGTGTCACTTTTCTGCTTTCTTTCTCCCAAATAGAGTTAGACAATTATAAATGACCTCCCTAATTTCTCTGTATATAATGGAGAGCAGCTAAAGAATATTACACAAAATTACAATAATAGAAGATTGATGCCATTATCTATTACAGTATGAATATAGCTCATTTCAGGCACTCAGCACTGCCCCTGAAATATTACCACGTTTCTCCAATTCCCATGAGAGTCTCACTCTTTATATTTCCTTCCAAACTAACTTTTAACAGATAAGACTGCTTTGTTTAAGAACAAAGAAGAAAGCTGTGATAGCTACTTTAGTGGACCCCAGTGAACCTTAGCTTCTGGTATGCATGACCCTTCTTACTGACTCTGGCTTTGGCCTCTTACCTAGCCATTAGCAAGTGTGAAGCAAATAGAAGTACGATAAATACTCGTAGGTTAGGTGTAGGCTCTTGGAAACCCTTGCTCTTAGAAGCCAGTGGCCATGCTATAAAGGTAGGTTACTGAATCATGCAGGGCCACATAAGGTGTCAGAGGCTGAAAGACCTCTTTCCCCCAAGCTCCCAGTTGAACACAGTGGCATGGGAGACCTCACCTATAGCAGACAGAGCAGACTACCCCTCAGACCCTCATCAAACTCATAATAATGAGATCAGGAAAGAGCTTTCCGATGGCCATGCTGGAGATGTTTGTGAGGTTTTGAGGTGGAAAGGGAAAGTAAACAATTGAATATATTTCTCTGGAGAAATGCAGTAGAGACACACGTTTGGTGGTTGTTAATGGAGAGAGGGCAAACATAATTGCTTGAGAAGCTTAGCTATGAAAAGCAGCAGAGATGTGGAGGTAGGAAATGAGGGGGTCAGAGTAATGTAGGAATATGTATTCCTGTGTGAATTATGACAAGAATGAGAAAGTGGTGGAATGGTGATGAGAAAGATCCAGAAGAGAGGGAAAGACTAAGGAAGGAGACACAGGAGAAACCAAGGAAGGATGTTCTGAGAAGCTGAGGAAGGCCGTCATCCCCTTTGATGCCCCCGTTCTACTCAAAGAAGAGGAAACAAGGAAGTGGGAGCAAATTCTGGTTTGTTTCTTGATCTGGTAATGATAATAAGAGGAAATTCTCTCTCTCCCCCTCACTCTTTCTCTCCCCCTCTCTCTCATTTACCTATTGCCATGCAACAAACCACCTCATCACTTTGTGGCTTTAGAATGATTCTCAAATGAATTCCCAAATAGGTTTTCCCTCTCTCCACTCTCTTACAAGCCACTTTCTCTGCCTCCACCACCTCCCTAGTTCTTTGACCCTCATCACCAGTGACCTTTATATTGCCAGACTAATTGGCTCATCTCTCAATGATTTGTCAACATTGATCATGATAGTTCAATGGCCTCCTTTCCTCTGGCTTCTGAAATGTGTCCTGTTTTCTCTTCACCTGTTACCTTTTCTCCCTTCCCTTTGTTGGCATCTCCTCATGTACCTGACTGAGCCTGAGTTCCCCTTGCGCTGTTTCTAAACCCTCTGATCTCCCCCAATTCCTTCCTAAGGTTATTTTACCTAACTCAATGGCTAACAGTCATCTATATTCCAACAACCAATCTCTGCCTCTACTGCAGTCCCCCAGAGAACTATATCCAATTGCTTACTTTCTCTCTCCACTTAAGTACCTCACAAAATCTCAAATTCAGCCATGCAATTGCTCTTTACTGAACTTTCCCATGGTGGTAATGACACCATCATGTATTCATTTGCTCAGCCTCGCATCATAAGATGTATGCTGATTCCCTTACTTATTATTTCAAAAAGACTTTAATTGCACACTTACTCCCACAAAACACTATATTTAATTAATGTGACTCTTGTCCTACAAAAGTTCACCATTTAGAGTTGAAAGCAGATGAATAATTACAATACAACTCAAAAATTCTGTAGTAAAGACAAGCTAAACTATCTTTACAAACAAGCGGATAGTACCTAAGACTTATTCTAGGAAGCAGAAACAACTATTTCAAATGGCTGAGTTCTCAGAAATTTTGCTCTCATTATAGAAACCATTTGGTAGCTCTTTTGGCTGTTTGCTTCAAGGTAACCAAACAGGTTAGTTCAAAATTATCCTTAGGACAGAGTTCTCAGGTTAGAGACAAATGTTTTCTTTTTAAGTTGTGCATTCTTCTTGTGTTACGGTTTCATTCCCTTCCTTATCAAATGTCTTCAAGTCATTTTCCCTTGAGTGTTTCTACAGAACATGGCTAGAACACGTACTTCTCTCTGCATTCTTGTTTTGCTCCCATCCAGCATAATTTTAGAGTTTCAGGGAACTTGACATCCCCAGTAAACCTCTTACTCTCTGGAGACACATGAGCTTTATGTAACTGAATAGTAAAGGTCCATTGCTTAATACTCAGACATTTTTATTTTAAGCACTTACATTTGCTGACAACTTAAGTATTAGTAAAAGTATGTGCATATTTTACATGTCATATTTATTTCAGGAAGTACTAGAAGATTAAAGTTCAGAAAGAGTTTGGCATATTTTAGAATAATGGTCTCTGGACATGCAAGAGCTAAGAGAAAATAATTATGCTTCATATTTGAAAAGTATTAAGAAAATGTGATTTTTGTCTTTAGGGATGGGAAATGCCACAGATCATATTGGATGTTACAAAACATTTCTCTCTTGTTCAATAAATACTCCAGTGGAGTAAGCAATTACTGGTAACAGACCTATGTTGGCTTATGATGGTGAAAAATAGTTTGCAAGACTTCACTAGTCTCAGGCAACATCTCTGATGAGTAGATTTAATATTAATTCTTACAGCTTTATTTCTAAATTAATAAAGATTAACTTCAATATAGGTTTATTTAACATAGTATGCTTCAGGAAGTATACCAGGGATATAGAGGAAGAAGGCCTTTAAAAATACACAGCTTGAAGACCACGGTCAGGCAGCAATGCCAAGGCTGGGAACAACCATGGAAAGGAGCACAGAATGAACGAATGTTCAGTTCCAGGAAAATAACATTTGTGGGAAGAGATGAGTAAGTCCTCAGTGAAGGAAGTTCTGAGGTGGAGATGTAAAGGATGTGAGGAATTTCCCGAAGGCTGGGGAAGTAGGCCAGCATTTCATACAGGTGACGCCATGAGACACAGCAAGGGGCAGGACGAGAGCAGTGGCACACACAGCTCAGAACACTGTGTCCCTGTCGTGTGGCAGAGCCTGGGACAGCAGGAAGAGGGAAGGCCTGGCCTGCCAGTAGCAGCCGGAGAAGGTCTGGGGGCTTATCTGGAGGGTCGTCTTTATCTCAGACAAGCTCTCAACTAAATTTGTGGTTCAATAATAGGAAAGTTAAATACAACCCTTTGCATTTATTTGTTTGAGGAAGTAGCTCCCGTTCCTATGTTTATAATTTAAGCATTTATTTATTTCTTCTTGAAACTCATTGGTAGCTTAACAATCTTTCAGGTTGCAAGAGAAAATATAAATGGAATCAATACCAAACATTTAATGCATCTTCATACAGAGTACTAGACTCCTTTTCTTACAGAGAAGATTTTACAGATGAAACATATAAATCCCAAATACAACTATACCTATATCTGTATCCCTCTCTGTAACTATCCCCAGTAAGGAAGGGATGGAGGTTAGATTATGAATGACTGCCTCAACAGAAAGGGTAGGACTTCCCTAATTATTACCAATTCCACTGGCCCTACCTTGGTCTAAGTAACCCCCATCTCTCCATTGCATTCCTGCAGTGGCCTCTTGACTGGTCTTTCTGATTACATATCCGGCCCCTATCCCAGC